CCCCAAAACCCCAAAACCCCAAAACCCCAAGTCTCAATAATTTTAAAGAATCAATCAAAATCTCAAAGTTAAATTAAATTAATTCAATAGCTTTTATTCCTAATTTTTTTGATTACTATCATAATTTGGGTGACTGTTGTTCCTTAAAAGATTTGAAAACAAGAGCAGAGTTTACTCCTCCAAAAGCAAGACAAGTCTTCACAACAACATCAATTTATCTTTCTACATTTTCCTAAGCAAATGATAATGAATCCGTAAGGGGGTTCTCAAGATTAATAATTCTTGGTGCAACCTGATCTCTTATTGATAAAATACCAAATATTGATTCTAATGCACCAGCGGCACAGAAAGTATGTCCAATGTTAGATTTATGAGCAGTGATTGTTGCTCTCTTCATATTGTTAGTATCAAGATCAGTTTGCTTTATCAATTCTAAATAATTACTCTCAGTTAGATTTTTTAGATTACTCCATATAGTTTAATTTCCTAATAATTTTTAATGGCATTTAGTTTCTGATAAATCACCAGCAGGAGTGCTTGTTGCATGACTATTAATTAGATCTATTTAACTTGGGGTGATTCCAGCTTAAACGAGGGCATTTTAAATCGCTAAAAATAAACCTTCTCCATCATCTGTAGGTCTTAAGATGTGAAATGCATCAGTATTTTAACTATATCCAACTATCTCACAATAGATATTTGCATTTCTGCTAAGAGCTGAATCTAATGACTCAAGAATCAATGCTCCTCCTCCATCAGACATAATTGGTCCTGCTCTTTTCGTATCAAATGGTCTGCTGGCTTGTTCAGGATGGTCATTGAATGTATTGCAGTTAGCTCCAAATAACTCCATTCCTTCAAAGAAATGTCTATTGAGATTGTAATCCATTCCTCCCGTAATGATTATGTCAGAGTAGCTTTCTCTTATGAGTTTGAAACTTTCACCAATAGCAACTCCTCCTGATGAACTAGCAGTACTAGCAGCTGAGACTGGCCCTTTAAGTTAGTGATTGATTGCTATTAAGCTAGGAACCATATGGTTCATTGTTTTAAGGAGTCTTAGCTTGTCGTTGGGTTTGTTATAATTTTCAAGAACTCCAAATTGATTTCCAAGAACTACTCCTACTCTTGTTCTATTCACTTGATCGAAGTTTAATTTTGCATCTTCAATAGCCTCCAATGTCACAGCATTTGCTAAACTAAAGATTCTTGCATCTCCAAACTATAATGCTGATTAAGGTTTCAAAGAAGAAATAACATACGCTTGTTTGATATTTCTTAATGTCGAAATGAGCAGGTAACCTTCCACCTATTTGAGATTTCAGACCTTTGAACTCTGGATCTCCCTTCACTGAAACAATTCCAGATTTTCCAAGTAAAAGATTAGCCCATGACTCTTTGACATTAACTCCAATTGGAGATACCATGCCAAGACCAGTAACTACAACTCTCTTAGGTAAATGAGATTGATTCATTAGTTAAATTATAAATCTGTACTCTATATTTATCTTTTTATTCATAAATTGATGCTTATACTCTCTCTTGGGGTTTTGGGGTTTTGGGGTTTTGGGG